TTGAAAATCCCCCCTTTGAGACTTGATGAGTTGACGGAATCATTTTTCCTAAACCTCATGGCCTGGGAGCAACGCTACTATCCACATGAAACTCTCATATGTGACTATGTTTTTCTAATGGAATATCTCATCAAGTCTACTGAAGACGTGGATTTACTCGTTCGAAAAAGAATTCTCATCAACCAGCTTGGAAGCCATAAAGCAGTGGTAACTTTATTCAACAAATTGTGCAAGCATGTTACTCCAATGGAAAAGAACCACTACTCTGATATTTTTAGGAAGCTCAACGCTTACAATGCAGTTCGCCATCATAGTTGGATAGCAATTCTCAAACTCCAGTACTTCTCAACTCTATGGAGAGGTGTTGCTACAGTCGCTGCAGTTGTCCTCCTTGTGCTTACTCTGATACAAACCATATGTGCTGTCATCTCCCTTTAGACGTGTTGCAAGTAATGCTTGCATCGAGTCTAAGTGGACAGCATGACACGTGTGCTATTGAGACAACAATAGTCTTTGGTATGCGTCTGAATGATGTAATCATCATATGTACGTATGTTTGACGTAATCTGAATGATGAATATATGAAGAAACCTTGTTTAGGAATTTCCTCTATTCATCCCTGTTTCGCTAACCCGAAACAGAGGCTTGCTTTGCTTTCTCCCTTGCAAACTTAACCGGATGCAGTTACAGAGTACATTCGTTTGCATTGAATAACCCATTATACATTACATAATTTCTAAATTGGAACTTGATTTTCTTTCGGTTTTTATTTATGTTATCACATTCTCTCTTGATGAATCGATGAAAACTCTACAAGTTTCACATTCTCCTTATTACATTTTGGCGAAGGAGTTTGCGTAATTTATTATTTATTTTTTGTTAGAGACAAAAACACGACACCATTCCAAAACTTTAAATGTGATTTTAGACAGCTTATAATCTCATATAAACTATAAACTACACACAATGTGGGATTTGAAGATAGAATCAAATATTCTTTCTAATGTTAAGTTGTAGAATTTTGTTTTTTAAATGGGCTTCATGCATAAGGTGTTTCTAATAAAAGACTTTTACATAATTTTAACTGTTTTAAGTAAAAAAAAATTAAAATTTGAATAAAATTACCCTTAATGAAATCTACCCATTTATTTGGCTTCACGCCTCAATCCGAAACCTATTAATAGGTTAAGTATGTTTAAGTCTGCACCTCAAACCGATTCATATTCTTTCAGCTTTTCTCATCAGACTATTTGTATTTTGAGTATTCTTTATCAGAAAGAAAAATATTTAAGCATTTTGAGCATTTATAGTAGTTTTTAATATATGAAAAAAAATTTTGAGCATTTTGAGCATTTTTAAGCATTTTGGAATGATTTTTGATATATGAAGCAAAATTTTTGAACATTTTGAGCATTCTTTGTCTAGTATGCATATTCATTAATTATGTTGTAAAATAGAATATAGTGTATCATTTGAAGTTATTGATCTTGTTAAATGGAATTCAATAATTTTGGTGGTTTTTGGGTATCGCGTGACTAATTTTTAGGCATTGCGTGACTTACTTTAGAAATTGCGTAACTGACTTAGGGTATTGCGTGACTAATTTTTAAGTATTGCGTGATTAGTTTGTAAGCATTGCGTGACTTATTAGTAAGGCATTGCGTGATTAGTTAGTAAGGCATTGTATGACTAGTTAGTAAGGTATTGCATGACTAGTTAGTAAGGCATTGTGTAACTTAGGTATTGCTTAAAAATCAATTACGCAATGCTTATAACCAATTACGTAATGCCTAAAAACCAGTCACGAAGTGATTAAGTCACGCAATGCTTAAAAATCAATCTCGTAATACTTAAAACCTAGTTTAATCAATTTTAACTCTTTAACTTTGGGGTTCTATGGTTTTATGAATAAACCAATAAACTCAAGAACCTAAAATACATACTTTTTTTTTGGTAAGCCATGAAATTGTGCATTTCATAAAAAATAGGTTACCAAATTCCATAATCCTCCAAAGCAAGACAAAATATATCCATATTGGAGGGCTTTGCTCACTACCCTTTGTAGAAGAAAAAAATTAT